GCACTCGCGCTAACCGCATTTGTTTTTCCAAGTGTTTGTTGTTCTTGCTCCTTTTGAAGGGATCACTAGACGGTGCAACATTGGAGAGTGCCCATTGCGAGCTTGAAGATGATGAGTACTTGGTGAACGTCCACTTCTACACGGTGAAGCCATCTCTTTCCCATGGTGATTTGGTTTTCGATCCGAGGTCGGATCTTTCCCAAGAGGGAGGGTATGATGCGGAGCATACTACGGACATCACCATGTCAAGAGTTCATTCGGCAAGTGGCATGTACGACATCTACTTCACATACACAAAGGTGAGTCATCTCCTTTACACGTGCTCACTTGACCCCTTCGAGGATGGTATACTACTTGACCCTCCATCGTGCATGCATAGGTATTGTCGGAGCTTCATGAATGTCGAGGAGGAGTGCAAGCGCCAAGGAACAACTACACCATCCGCGAGGGAAACGTGGAAGAGAAGGAAGAAGAAGCGCGGACAAGCTTCTGGAAAGCCCGGAACTTCCGGCCTCTGCCCAGAACTTGCGGCCCCCAGACCTTCTGGCCTGCCCCGAACCTCCGTCCCCCGGAGTCCAGACCAGCCCCGAGCGCACCAACTCTCTGGATAGCCCAAAGCCCAGCCGGAACCTGCCTGGAACTTCCGGCCCTGCCTGCGCGCAGACACTCGGGCCGAAGCCCATGTACCCTTTCTCCCCTCACTTACCCCTTCGTGGACCAAGACTATATATACTCCTCCAACTCCTCCTTTCTAGGGTTAGCGTTGTGATAGCTCATATTAGAGATAGAGCTACGCTCATCCATATCAGATCTGCTCCTTGAGAGAGATCGTGGCCCCTCTTCGTAGAAGATCCACCTTGGATTCAAGACCTCCTCACGGAGAAGACATCAAGACCTCCTCACGGAGAAGAACCGGTTACCCTTTGTATCGTCCCGTGTTGACTTTGGATCATGTATCTCTCTTTATGTTTCAAGGATCTAGCACATGTGTGATTATACTTGTTGGTTTGAGTGTTCTCTCGTGTTTCCCCTCGTTTTCCCCCTCGTGTTCTTTGCGGGATCCGCTCCTTTCATGAAAGATCGGCCGTATAGGGTTCCACACCCTACATCACTTAGCTTGCACACATGAAAGACACTTAGAACCTTTGACTAAAGTGAAACTCGGGATTAAATCCAACTTAGCTAGCCGCGTCATAACACCGAAACTAATGTGACAAAGACGTGAATGCCAAACTTCAGATTCATTAACACTTGAATGAATATGGTTCACGACTTTATTAAAAAAACTATGAGGGAAAGGCGGAACATCTCTCCACTCTCATAACCTTTTCCAACAAATAGTCCATATTTAGTAACAACTAATTTATTAGACTCGAAGACCAACTTAAACCCTTCTCTACATAGAAGGGAGCCACTAACGAGGTTCTTCTTGATGGCAGGGACATGCTGCACGTTCTTCAACTACACGATCCTTCCTGAAGTAAACTTCAGATCGACCGTGCCAACACCATGAACAGAAGCACCCGCGCCATTCCCCATCAATAGAGATCCGTGCCTGTGACTTGGTAAGAAGTGAACAATGGAATGTCAGCACACACATGAACACCTGCACCTGTATCCACCCACCAATCGGCGGGCCGAAGCACTGAAAAAATAGTAAATAAATTACCGTACCCAGATGCACCATTCTCATTGTTTCCCATAATCATGTTGACATTCTTGGAGTCCTGTCCTGACTTCTTAAACTTGTTTGGACACTTGTTGGCCCAATGTTTAACTGAACCACAAGTAAAGCAGCCCTCACCCTTCTTGTTTTTCTTGAAGGTCTTCTTACCCTTCTTCTTAAAGTGGGTATTGTGTTGGACACTGTTCTTTCCCTTGGGCTTGTGGGGGTTGAAGTTCCTCTGGTTCATCATGTTGGTGACAGAAGTCCCTTCGGCCCCTTTTCCGTGCGAGTCATTTGCCCTAGAATTCTGCTCAACACTCAGATGGCCAATGACATCCTCCACAGAGAATTCACGCCTCTGATGTTTCAGAGTGGTGGCAAAGTTCCTCCAGAAATTAGGGAGCTTAACGATTATGCAGCCCGTGACAAACTTGCTCGGTAAATCGCACTTAAGAAGCTCAAGCTCCTTAACGATGCATATTATCTCATGAGCCTGCTACAATACAGGAAGGTTCTCGACCATCTTGTAATCGTGGAACTGCTCTGTAACATACATCTCGCTCCCGGCATCGGTGGCTCCAAACTTAGATTCAACCGCCTCCCACAAGTCCTTGGTGACATGCACATGTAAATATGCATCGACCAGTTTATCTCCGATCATGCTAAGAACTGCTTCGAGAAATACGACGGTGGCCTCCCTGAACGCCTTCTTCTGTTCAGGAGCAATCGTTTCCATGGAGACACCGGCGACCCAGAACACATTCATCGCGTGAGCCATAAAGTGGTCTTAGTCTTCCAATGCTTAAAGTACGTACCGGTAAACTTATCAGGTTTCAGTGCAGCGTCAAAGCCACTTGCCAAAAAATTCCTACACATAATAGGCTTTTGGATTGTTGAGTAAATAGGTAATTTTTTGATTAACTTAATCCACGAGTAAATCACTAGCATGGCATTGACACACATAATCGCATACTGATATTCAATCATGCAAGCACATATTACGCTAATTGCAGAAAGATCTACGTATAAAGCTAGCATGGCTAAAACAGAAAACAATAGGAGCGGGATAAACGAGTTATACCCTTTAGTAGGCCATGCAGAGGCCGCGGCGGCAGCAGTGTCGTTGGCGGCCTTCTTGTCTGCCTCGAGCTTCTCGGCAGCGAGACGGTCGGCGTCGGACTGTGACATGGTGATGATGAAGACGACACAGACGTAGAGGAAGTAACGGATCGGAGGCGAGCAGTCGCTTCCCAAAAACCTATTCGCCCCTCTCTCGTACAAGAACCGAAGGGACAGGGTTTCAGAGACATGCTCTCCCGTCGACCGTGTACGTGGCAGACGGGATGGAGTCACCGGCGGCGAGCGTGCGCGTGGAGCAGATGTGATCTATTTGTGACGATTAGGGTTAGGAGACACCGCATAAGTGTGAGATCGGCTCGACTCATTCCTAAAACTCGCGGCGTGTCGTGACGAGGCGTGGCGTGGCGAGGCGGGCGGCGGAGGAGGAGCGCGCGAGGGCCTCTTCTATTCTCAAGCTTCAATAGCATGTAGAAAAAAAATCTTTATAAAAAAGTCCAACTCCTCTCCAACTTTCGGGTGGGACTAAACTTTCCACTACACCTAATGCCAAATAAACCTACATAAACCTTTAGAGATTTTCTAAAATTGTTGGATGGGCCTAAAACCGACCCCATATTTTAACAGACCACGCTCCAGAGCACCAAGCGCAAGTACAACCAGCTCACTTTTTTTGCGCTGGTGAAGAAGCTATTCAGTAGTTGGATGTTCACCGCAGGGCGTTGCCATGACGGCATGGCTGCACCCTCACCCAGCGCGGGCAACCCAAGGAGAAGCGCGTCCGGGTCTAGTCCCGGCACAGACAGGTCAAGGTCATCCTCCCGCGACTCTGGTTCATCGACGGGGTTTTGCGCAAAAAAGCCGCACGCGTGTCGCCCGAAACAGTGCACGTCACTGGCAGTAGACCCATCCATGCTGAATACGCACGCGCTCGAATAGAGTGACTGTATTTGAACCAAATAACAAGTTGAATGATAAAAAAAAGTATTTCCGAAGGTGTAGCACTAAACTGCACGTTCGATGCAAGTTTTGTGACTACTGATGATATTATCTCAATGTTTTTAGTCTCTCAACTATCATCAAAGTTTAGATTTGGTCTCCCAACTTCAATACTATAAATTTGTGCTCACTCAATACATTCAAAAGTTTGTCCTCAGCGGTTTTTACCATGGTCTAGCAGGCATAGTCAGCATGAAAAAAGGACGAAAATTTTAAGAAAAGGGAAGTTGCAGTTTTCTACAGAACAGGTAGCTTGGCGGAGATCCCGTCAGGCTAATCCGCAGAGTTAGGAAGAAGATCCCGATGGTATCAGCTGGTCAAAGTCGTGGGACGTGGAGGAATCTTGGCATGCAGCCACAAGAGACGCATTTATACGCATCGATTATTAGGGGGTCGCTCGCTGTCAGTAGCTGTGTAACGGCTTACGCGTGCCTGAGTTTCCATATCCGCTGCTTTCACATGCTGCCCGCGTGCTGCGCAGTTCACACATGGGCATGGAAAGAGCCAAACAAAAAAGAAGTCTGCAAACCACGCTCCAATCCAAGCTAGTACGAACTGTAGTTGATTCTGGATATGAGCAGTATCCAAGTGGAGCTGGACGTGTGATCGATCGGGGGTCAAGGTCAACTATGGCACGTAGGAGATGGCGCCTGCCGCGCTGCGGAGTCGGCGTTCTCTGCCCCTGTTTATGAACTGAACGTTGGATTATCTTATCTACGTACTAGAGAAGAACATGTATGTATGTGCACGAGGCCCCTATTTCTGTATGTCATACAGCTGCAATCGGATAAGCGTTGGAACTTCAGCTTGACTTTGCCAGAGAGCTCCGAACAAGGCCATGCCAAATTCTGCGCTGATTTATAGAGGGAGCCTAGCCGGACGGCATCATTCCCGATTCAGATAGGCGCGCCTATCTATATTCCCTGGAAGCTGTCCGCCTTGTCATGACAAACAAGAGCGCTGCACTAAGCCCGGACAGAGACTTCCATTTCATGACGGCCTCGCTGTAGTAAGCTGCGTCACGACGCTCGATTAGTTTATGATTAGGACGTCTAAACAACGGCCCACTTGAACAGCAGCGTGACGTTCAGCCGTCGCCAGCTGAATGAATATTCATTCACATCATCGCTAGACACAATCGAGAAAACAACATCTAACTAAACTTGACTGATAGCTGGAATAGTATATAGCAGAAAATTCAATGCATTAATAGCATCTAACCCGCACGGCGCGTCACTACTCCTATATAAATGCAAGTATGCAACCCTTGCCAGTCGCAAACTTGAAATACAGTCTCACACACACCACGGAAGGCGCGCGCGCGTCCATTCCAAGGGCAATGGCGCCGCACACCACGGAAGCGGACGCCGCCGCCGCCGCCGGCGACGAGGAGTCGGCGGTGGAGGCCGGCACGCTGCGCCACCGCCACAACGCCGCCAAGGCCGACGACGACGGCGAGATCAAAGGGAGCGCGCCGGCCGGGGAGGAGGGGGACGCGGAGGCGTCCGTGGAGCGGGCGTTCGAGGGCAGGCCGGTGCCGACGTGGCGGGAGCAGCTGACGCTCCGCGCCTTCGTGGTCAGCTTCTTCCTGGCCATCATGTTCAGCGTCATCGTGATGAAGCTCAACCTCACCACCGGCATCATCCCGTCGCTCAACGTCTCCGCGGGCCTCCTCGGCTTCTTCTTCGTCCGCCTCTGGACCTCCGCCATCGAGAGGATGGGGTTCCTCCGCCAGCCCTTCACGCGCCAGGAGAACACCGTCATCCAGACCTGCGTCGTCGCCGCCTACGACATCGCCTTCAGCGGTAAGCTCTTCAAGTCCAAACTCCCGCGACTCCTTTATTCCTTTTCGATTGACGAGTGAGCAGAGCCTCTGCTTTTTCACTAAGGGGAAGCAGAGGAAGCAGAGCTGTATCAAGTGCTGTTCTTGCTGCTACTCTCCGATGTATAGTACTACCAGTGGTAGTTATGAGGGATACTTTATTCATAGGCTTCTGTCAATTCTTTCGCAATCAGGCGAAGTATATTTAAACGCCGAAGTTGCTACACTAAGGTGATATAGAAAGATGATGAAACCTACTGACTTGTCCATGGAAAACCTGCATATTTTAGTGATTTATAAGCGCTCTTATATTTCTTTACAAAGGGAGTACGGTTTAGTGATTCTTTATTGTCGCATCCCCTGATAAAACTGCATAAGAGTTCAACCATCTGCATACGAACATGTGCAAAGCAAAAATGCACAAAGTAAATCATGTGAAATGAAATAGCAGGCCTAAGATGGAAAAAGCAAATATTCAGTTGGAGGAGTTTTGTGGTTCCGAGTGAATAACATTAGGGCTATGGTAGGATGAAATTGGAAAAACAGCAAGAAATTTAGAAAAATCTTGAATATTCCATCATAATTTTTAGAAAATACAATAATTTGCAAAAGGACTGTAGCAACATACTTGATAATTACAGAATTCCATGGTTTTGCATAATATTTCTGATAGCTGCAAAAAATAATTCTACAAACTTTAGTAACTTCATTTGATTTTTCTTCGAATTTGATTTTTTGGTATTATTTCCTCTGCAAATTTTCTTGACTTTTGACAATTTTCTGTGCTGGCCGGGCTGCCACGTGTGTGGAACATCCGCCATGTCGTCATCCAAACTGCTTTTAGCTTATCTTGATCTCGATGGTTTCGACACTAGAGAGACTACAAAATTCTGGTTTGGAGTGAAGTGACCAAAACTTAGACCTTGGCAATCGTCGAGGGGCCAAAAAAAAAATGTATATTTTCTTTATTTAGCTTGTTTATGTAAAGAAGACTTTTCACTAGTATGCTGATAGACTGGTTAATTGTGTATTCAAATTATCGTTATCACGTACTAGTAATCGCGGTCTCAGTATGGGACAGCCAAGTTGCCTATGACCTCATGCTGAAATAGTGATCTAGATGGTTTGACTCCATATCTACACGCATGGTTGAAATATACAAGAGAATTAATAGGTTGTGGCCCATGGATGTGATGTTGTAGACTTGACTTCAACGACTGTCCCTTTTTCCAGTCTTATTAGGCCCTTCCCCCCTTTTTTTTTCTTGCGAGAATCTTGGGCTAGATTTCAAATATGACCTCTTCAGCAAAAAGGATAGAGATGTGTCTACGAAAAGAAGTATGGTTTCTTGGACTATTATCAATAACCAATGGCAAAACCTTTTGGCTGAGGCTTTTAAATTCAAATTTGAACATTGAGAAGAACAAATAAATCTAGGGATATTCATTTGCTTGTTTGAACCTAAACTTTGGCTGAAAACATTTGATGGCTTTGACTACCTATAATCTGGGTTCTGTACATGGAGAAATGTGATATTCACTGCACTGGCTCATTCCAATTGATCAGGTGGATTTGGCAATTACTTGTTCGCCATGAGTGGAACCATCGCCAGCCAAGCAACAGAGGCTAACGATGCTCAGAATGTCAAGGACCCCCACATCGGGTGGATGATAGGGTTCCTCTTCCTCGTCAGTTTCGTTGGGCTATTTGCTCTTGTGCCCCTGAGAAAGGTAAATCTGCAGCCTGTTTCTGCATTCCTACTTATGTTCTTACATCATCCCTGCATACCCATCTACTAATCGTCTCAAATCACTTTCTGGTTCAGATCATGATCGTGGACTACAAGCTCACCTATCCAAGTGGCACCGCGACTGCATATCTTATCAACGGTTTCCACACGCCAGAGGGTGCAAAGCTTGCAAAGTAATCTAGCCGTCTGAATGTCACAGTGCTAGTATTCTCCTTGGTGATATATAGTTAGTGACAACATGATTATGGTATTTCAGGAAGCAAGTAAGGACATTGGGCAAGTTCTTTTCATTCAGCTTCCTCTGGGGCTTTTTCCAGTGGTTCTACACTGCTGGAGACGGCTGTGGGTTTCAGAACTTCCCTTCCTTGGGCCTTCAGGCCTACAAGAGCAGGTTGGATAATGCCTGTTTTCTTGGTCTGAATGTCTGAAACTTGCCTGAAGCCTTTTGTATCTATATGGAGATCTGAACTCATTGTCCAAACTGAACTTCACATTTCAAAATTTCAGGTTTTATTTCGATTTCTCCCCTACCTATGTTGGAGTCGGGATGATCTGCCCCCACATAGTGAACGTGTCTGTTCTACTGGGAGGCATCCTGTCGTGGGGTGTGATGTGGCCCTTGATACACAACAACAGAGGGAGTTGGTACTCGGCTGACCTCAAAGACAGCAGTCTCCATGGCCTCCAAGGTTACAGGGTAAAACAAACATCTACACATTTCATCATCTTTGATTTCAATTTGTTTGGCTGATTGGTGCCACTGATGCTGGTACTAATCAAGCAACCAATCCCAACTACTCTGCAGGTGTTCATATCCATCGCCATGATCCTCGGGGACGGCCTGTACAACTTCGTCAAGGTGCTCATCCGCACGAGTGTCGCCTTCGCGGCGATGGCGAAGAAGAACAGCACCATCCCGGTCTCGGACGTGGGCGGCGCCAAGGCCACCGGCGAGCCTGTATCGTTCGACGAGCAGCGTCGCACCGAGCAATTCATGAAGGACCAGATCCCCAAGTCGGTGGCGTATGCGGGGTACGCCGCCGTCGCCGCGGTGTCGATCGCCACCCTACCCCAGATCTTCCCGGACCTCAAGTGGTACTACATCCTGGTGGCGTATGTCTTCGCGCCCGTGCTCGCCTTCTGCAACGCCTACGGGACAGGCCTCACCGACTGGTCCCTCGCCTCCACCTACGGCAAGCTCGCCATCTTCATCTTCGGCGCGTGGGCGGGCGCCCCGCACGGCGGCGTGCTCGTCGGCCTCGCCGCCTGCGGCGTCATGATGAGCATCGTGTCCACCGCCGCCGACCTCATGCAGGACTTCAAGACGGGCTACCTCACGCTCGCGTCGCCCAGGTCCATGTTCATCAGCCAGATCATCGGCACCGGCATGGGCTGCGTCATCGCGCCCTGCGTCTTCTGGCTCTTCTACAAGGCCTTCGACGACATCGGCATCAGCGGCAGCGAGTACCCCGCGCCCTACGCCATCGTCTACCGCAACATGGCCATACTCGGCGTCGACGGCTTCTCCTCGCTCCCCAAGCACTGCCTCACGCTCTGCTACGTCTTCTTCGCCGGCGCCATCCTCATCAACCTCGTCAGGGACTTGGTGCCCGCCAAGGTCGCCAAGTTCATCCCGCTGCCCATGGCCATGGCCATACCCTTCTACATCGGCTCCTACTTCGCCATCGACATGTTCGTCGGCACCGTCATCGTCTTCGTGTGGGGGATCGTGAACAAGGCCAAGGCCGACGCGTTTGCGCCGGCGGTCGCCTCGGGGTTGATCTGCGGTGACGGCATTTGGACGCTGCCGCAGTCGATCCTCGCTCTTGCAAAGGTGAAGCCACCGATTTGCATGAAGTTTCTATCGAGATCCGTCAATGCCAACGTGGATGCCTACCTAGGAAATTAAGTCAGTGCCTGTGCGGCAGTTCTCCTTTCCTTGGAAAAAAAGGAAGGCCTCCCTGTCTATAGTTTGAAGTTACACATTCTGTACTGTATCATCATCCTATAATCACGATTGTATATGGCTTGTTACGTATGGTGATTTTGTAGCTAATGTATGTAAGCTTTAAGGTTGTGCTTATTAAGTGGCTATAGGGATGTAATGGGCTAATGGCAAACAAGGGGCGTCTACAAGTAAGTCCCGTTTGGTTAGCTTTAGCTAGCTCCATAGTTCATTTCTCTAAAGAAAAAACAAAACCAAATTTTAAATTGTTCGATTGTTGGTGGGTTTAAACGATTGATATCCCTAAATGGCTACCCCTCGGCTGATGAACTGTGAGAAGCAAATGACAAACTCGGTCTGTGCTGCTCGTGGTTTTCTCCTACCGAATTGAATGTGTGGGCCAGGCAGGCGTCCTGTACTCGTACACAATCGCACCCATATGGTATCGTTGTGTAGGCGTACACACTTGAGACCAACGGTGTGTTTGACTACGGGAGAAGTACATCCGAATCTCAACACCATCCGGTGGTGGCTAGATACCCGGTAGAAACCAATTCCACTCGAAATGTCACTCTCAGCGAGCTCCATAAATTATACCGATCAATCCTCGTATGCCGACTTTTAAAGTGCCATTTTTAGCCAAAATCGTCATATTAATAGTTATTATGCCGATATGGCCAATCTGATGACTCTGCTAAAGTTGCTCTTGAAGATTTGCTTTCCTTGTCCAAGATTATAACATCTACCGCTTTTTGCACTGAACGCTCTTTATCTTTGGTCCGTTATCTGATGATAGTGGACTGATAGTGGAGCGCGGCCAAAGTTTGATCGTATGGAAAAGGTATACTACCGTAACAACCAGTGCACACTGACCCTGTAATCGCCCGGGGCCGATTTACGGATGCCGGTGAGCCGTCGAAATCAACCGGCACCTACGCAAAACGTACACGCATATACGACGATCAATAGAAACGGATGCGTACACGCGTGCCGTGCGCCCGTTACCTCTTTCGCTCTGTCGCGTGTTCGGTCGCCGTATGCGCGCGCTGTCTCTACCTTCTTTCTCATGGATCGATTCAGCTGGTACATGATGCGCATGTTCTCTTCTCTCGCCGTTTATGAGCCAGGGTGGCAATGGCATGCCTAACTTAATTCCTGTTTGATTCCCTCCTGCTGCTTATTAGTTAGCTGCCAAATTGCCTCCAAAATATAGCTCGCTGGCAAATATGGAACGCATGCATGTAATTAACATGGTTGATTTGTCTATGCAATGTGGATACTCCTATATGGAGTAGTACGCTACTGCACACCCGTATTTGGAAGCATTTTACTTCCTCATTGATTAGGATATATCTCGCTTGATTAACTCCTTGTTTATGTGTAGCTATATAGGTGCGTCACTCCCTTGCTATGCGCTCGTTAAATATACGTCGTCCAGGGATTTTCCTATCGATCGGCTCGATCTTGCTTCCACTACTCGATCCATTGAAACGATGGTGAAGACGAGGGCCGGTGCCGTCCGGCCGTGGGCGCTTCTCGCTCTTGCTCTCCTCCTCATCGCCGGCAGCTGCGTGGAGGCGGCGGACGAGCAGGCGGCGAACGGCGGTGGCAGGAGGAGGAGGACGCATCGACGTTCCGCGGCGGCGGTCGCGGACATGATGGTGCCCATCACCTTCCTCAACGCCTCCGTCGAGAAGGGCGCCGGTATGTCCACTCCAAGTCCAAGCATGGTTCTGTGAATCACTGCTCGTTTCTTCTTGTTCATCTGCTCCTCTTTTTTAATTTTGGCGGGGGACTTCTGCTCCTTTTCGGTGTGTACTATGGGAAATGGTATCTGATCTGCTTGATCGATTCAGCTGATAGCTAGCGAGTGAAAAAATTTAGGCATATGTAGAGTGTAGTGGACAATTTGGTCAGCTAGATTATCAAGAATTGTCTGCGAAATTCTGGCGCCGGTCGGTAGTTTCATGTGTCTATGAGCAATTGGAATCCAGTGGCGTTCGACAATACATGCATGCATTCTTCATCTTTTCTCTTGTGCTTCTTGCGCTCGAGATCGGTCCCGTGCGTCTTCGGCGTGCACTCAGATCCAGCTGCCGGGGCCCCTTCTCTGCCTCCCTCTCTCCTTCGCCGCGGCTGGCTGGTCACCATGTTCATAGCACATATTAAGATAATCCCTAAAAAAATCTGATCAAAATTCGAAACATACATCAAGAAGCAAAAAAGAGAAATCTGTTATGAATAGTTACGAATGGTTCTCTGTATACTATTCACATATGAGTTTCTCTTTTTTGCTTCTTGGTGTATGTTTCGAATTTTGATTTGAATTTTTTAGGGATTATCTTAATATGTGTTATGTGACTTGTCTTCCTTCTCCTCATCGTCAACATCGAAGCAAACCAGACCAATGCGCCGAATCCTCTCCTTTCCCTCATCCTCACACACCGCTCCTCCGGCAAGCTCAAGAGGCGGCCAGCCGATGCTGCAAGGCTGGGCCAAGGTGCTGCAACACGCCCGCACACTGCTTCAAGGGAAGAGAGAGGCGGCGGCGAGGTGTTTGTCAAACATCCCATGTTGCAAAGGCACGAGTCTGCGAGCTCGCCAGCTTGCTATGTCATCAACGTTTTTGAAATCATCGGTGTTGTGGCGGTGTGGGTGTTGCGAGCTCGCTGGGTTGCAACTTCATCGTTGGTTTCAGAAACATCGCTGATGTTGCGGAGACACGCGTCCAAAAGAGAATGCATGAGGCGAATTGCTACTCAGCTGATGTTTCTGAAATATGGCCAACGTTGCAACTGTTTTTTTGTGAAGGAAGGATGAGCGAGATGAGGGATACACTGCGGGCCATTTGATCGTGGCTGATTTGATGGTCAAAGAGGCGTTGGATAATTAAAAGTTATCACCCGGCCGATGCGTAGTAGGACCCAAATAAAATATTGAGGATGTAGAAGGTTGGTCTAGGCAGGGTTCTAGCTTCCATTCCACGGCACAGCCCACAAACCCCCTCCCAATCTTTTCATTTTCCCTTTTCACCAAAAATGGAAAGTGGTGGTCAGTTCGATTCGTTACTTACTTGCCGCGGAGTTGTCATTTTTACCTCCTGTGGTTTCGACAAAAGCGGTGGCGATCCGTTAGCCTAGCCACGAATGTGATCGTTTTGAGCAATTTACTCTGTCAGAATCAAGCCTAGCTAGCTAAGAATTTTGAGTGGTATTGGTATATGCTATTGAACTGTTTCTGACGTCTGCACAGTATTGATTTACTTTAAATCATGTGCAACACACCGAGACTAATTTGCTATCTACGATTGCAGTGTGTATGGATGGGACGCCGGCCGCTTACCACCTGGACCCGGGCTCCGGGGCAGGGAGCAAGAGCTGGATCGTCAACCTCGAGGTACGCAGCGGGCGCACTTATACAGTGGTGCATACATGATTTTACCTGATCCTTGGTGCATCGTAAGTGCAGGGAGGCGGGTGGTGCAACAACGCGAGGACGTGCAGGTTCCGGACAAGGACTCACCATGGCTCCTCCAACTTCATGGAGCGGCAGATCGCCTTCACCGGCATCATGAGCGCCAGCCCCGCCGAGAATCCTGGTCCGTCTCAAGTCTCAACTCCAAAAGCAAAGATGGTTTGCATGATTAATCTCGGGCAAACGAGGCCATCGACGACATGTGCATTTTTCATGCAGATTTCTACAACTGGAACCGGGTGAAGATCCGCTACTGCGACAGCGCCTCCTTCGCCGGCGACACCTTCGACAAGGTGCATATTAATTCCTTAGACGCAACAATGTGTCAGCTCTTCATGCATCGATCCGTGGTGGCATCATCACCCTATGTTTTGACGCATAATTTTTCCTCTGTAAATATGTTGCAGGGTACCGGGCTCTACTTCCGGGGGCAGCGGATTTGGGAGGAAGCCATCCAGCACCTCCTCTCCATCGGGATGGCGTCGGCCGACCGGGCGCTTCTCACGGGCTGCTCCGCCGGTGGGCTGGCGGCGATACTCCACTGCGACCAGTTCGGCGCCTTCTTCGCCGGCCGAAGCACCACCGTCAAGTGCCTCGCCGACGCAGGCCTCTTCCTCGACGCGTACGTCTACCTATTTACCTATATCGCTGATTCACCGTCACTCTCACGGGTCTCACCCAGTTGATGGACTGTTTGCGTGCAGCGTTGATGTTTCCGGGGGCCGCAGCTTGAGATCTTACTACGGCGACATTGTAGCCATGCAGGGAGTGGCTCCAAACCTTCCGCCCACCTGCACCGATCACCTCGACGCCACCTCGGTGCGTGCGTGCTTCATTTAGTTAGTTTGCGTGCAAGAAAGATCATTCGTGAGTGACTCTCTTCTGTCTACTGATCCTAGCTACCTTGCTGTTTCTTTTGCATGCACGTCTGCAGTGCTTCTTCCCTCAGAATATAATCGACAGCATCAAGACCCCCATCTTCTTGCTCAACGCAGCCTACGACGTCTGGCAGGTAACTAAATGTTTGCACGCAGGAATGACTTATCTTAAGGTGGGAGTAACTAATTTGCACAAGGAGGTAGCAAATTTGACGGAAACTTAATCAGATTGAGGAAAGCCTGGCCCCAAGCAAAGCCGACCCCAGCCGCGCCTGGCGAGCCTGCAAGTTCAACCGCTCGGCCTGCAACGCGTCTCAGATAAACTTCCTGCAAGGTAAAAGAACAATTCATACTTGCGATATCTAATCCAACTTGCCACTCAAAACCTAATTTACCGATTGAGCAACTAGCACGAAAGCCGTTGCGCGGGCTAGCATGAGAGGCAAAACACAATACTCCTTGACGATCTGGACAACTACTGAGTCGTGAGTAACTAATTTTGTTCACACATGCAGGTTTCAGAGATCAGATGGTGGCATCCGTGAGAGGCTTCTCCGGTTCCAAGAGCAACGGGCTCTTCATAAACTCGTGTTTCGCCCACTGCCAGTCCGA